AAAAAAGATTATATTGAAAAGGTGTCGGGTGAGTGTGGAGTGAATGAGGAAGACAGTAGAAAACTGAAGACGAGTAGTGCCGATGACCTGTTGTCCAGTCTGCTATCCTGCTCTATCTTCCCCTCTTCCTCTTTGCCTAATTGCCAATATATTAATGAGCTGGCATCAGCAGCAGCAGTAGTAGTAGCCGCATAACTGCATAGCGGTAATTAATTAACAATTTGGCAATTAACGGGCAGTCGTGACGTGGTGAAGATGATCGAGTCACGGTGAGCATCAGGCACGAACATCAATCCTTCCCAATAAACGTACTCTATACTGAAGTTGAAGGGGCAAACTGGAAAAACAAAAAACGGTTTTGACAAAACCCAATTTTAAATAAGTTCATACAAAAAACCACAATAAAAAAATTTAATTCAGTTAGAGTGTGATAAAAAAAGCAGTAATCAACAAGTAGAAACTGGATCTCAAGCAGAGTTGTGATTTTGTTTCGCCTTTGTCATTTTGTACTAATTTGTTTGGCTAGTTTTAATCGTTCACAAAGTTCACACTGTTCCTGACCAGTGCTCAAGACGATATTGATTTGTTTAGAGATTGGAATCCACAGCAGCAGCAACAGCAGCAGCAGCAATCATCGATCATCATCAATGGCACCAAATCAAAGACACTAAACACACTTTTGCTGGTGTGCCACTTATCAGCCAACATTTCATTGCCTGTTACATTTAGCTAGTGTCGTTTCAGCTGTCAAGCCTCACTTCTCTCTGTTATCAGCTGCGGCGAGTGTAGACTCTTCGAGTGTCTGCGTCTTCTTCTTCTTATCGAGGTATGCACAGTCTAAGTGAAAGGGATTACCGATTATCGGCGAGACTCTGCGTGAGAGCACTAGACCCACACACTTCACCCAACCAAAGCACAACACCGACTCGTGACTGTGCGACTTAGCAGCAAGACACTTTTATTTTGCCTTTTTTAGTTCAAGTTCATCGCCGAGTTTTTTGTTGATCTGAGATGGCACCGTCCCCAGTCAAGCTCCTACTTCTTTGTTCTTGCTTTCTCCTTTTGCATCGTCAAACTCTAGGCACAATTGCTTCCAAACAGAGTTTTCCAATTGCCGTTCCTAGCACATTAGCCAACAGCAGTAAAGATGTCGATTACCCGGTGGAGGATGAAATGGAGGAAGAAAGTCGGAGAGTGGACGTCGTCGATTCGACCTCAACCACCACGACTCCTCAGTCCACAGCTGTCACGAGTAGCTTTCTGCAGAGCACTCCCACCACCACCATCACCACCACCTCGACCACATTGAAACCAGCCGTTGAGGAGTCAAAGCAGATGCAAAGCAGCCAACCGAGCAGTGGGCCAGCAGACGCACCAGTCAGTCAGAACGCCCCTGGAACCATCACTAACATGTCAGACATTGTGAAGCTAGTCCGCTTTGTCTTTCTCCGTGGTCACATCGTCCTCGACGCCTCCCATCGAGTGCTAATGAGGAATGAGTCTCGCATTGAGCGACTGATGGACTACCTGCATGACATTCAGCTGAGGAGGGGCAAGAATCGAGTGCTGCCAATGGACGACCGAGACCTGGGCTGTGAGGACATACCTGACTCTAAGCTGCACCTTCGCGAGCTGTGCAAGGCGGCCACCTTTGACTGTCTGTCCGCCTCTGAGATGATGGACATGCTGCCGAAGTCAATTGCCTTCCACCAGGCGATCACGCGCATCTGTCCGCTGTTGCTCTTCCGCCAGTCACGTCCCATCTGCATTGCCGACGCGAAGAAGCTCATTGACGTTCATCTCAATCAGAAGATCAAACTGGTGGAGCCGAGCATTGAACGCGTCTGGGGCTTTGGCGTCCTCTTCGTCACCATATCCATCATCGTCTCTATGGGCGGGCTGATGCTGTTGCCCTTTCTCAAGAAGTCATCACGCACCACTATTCTCACCTTCTTTGAAGGACTAGCTGTTGGTGGACTGGCGGTATGATTGAAGTGAACTTTAATTTTTCTTAAAAAGATTAACTCATTACCTTTTCAATTTCACCAGGGAAGTGCCATCCTCCACCTCTTTCCACAAGCCTTTGACATAGTGGACGACAAGTATCGCGCCTATTTTTGGAATACCTCCTTCATCTTTGGCGGCATATACCTCTTCTACTTCATTGAGATGTGTCTGAAGATCTTCAAAGCGTACTACGGCAAAAACAGACGGAAACGAGTGCCCTCATCAGGTGCCGTATATCGAGATGGTGACATCTACCTTGACGCAATGGGCAGCAATGGACGAATGGCCGGCGGGAGATTGGGTAGTAATGGCGGTATGATCGGTGGAACATCGAAGATGGGCGGACAAGGTCGCAAGTCTTCTTCCTCCTCCTCAGCGGCCTCCTCAAACAGTGACTTTTTGACTAATTGCAAGGGCGGTGACGTGTACCAGATCAAGTACGCAACGAGCAGCAGCAGCAGTAGCAGCAGCAGCGAGTCCTCGAGTGAGGAAAACGAAGAGCACCACCGAGCCTTCCGCCATGACCTGCATCGCAGTCGCAACAGTCGAAATAAAAAGCACAACGTCACACCAACTGAAGTCGTCGAACAGATCATGGTGGCTGCTGTACAACAGCAACAGCAACAGTTGCCCGAAATGACCTCCCCTTCATCGACATCAGTAGTAGCAGTGGTTCACCCTGCTGCAGTCACGAGCCGTCGAATTTTGACACGCCGACACTCCTCAAGTCCGGATAAGCAGACGTCGGAGTTTGCCCAGGGAGCAGCAGCAACACTTTCGCCACTACCGGTCCCAGTGAGCACCAACACAGCAGCGTACAGCACGGTGACTAGCACAGTGAAGGAGGCGCTGATCAGCAGCACCCGCGAGCAGCTCGCCCAGTGCCTCTCCACGGTGAACGTCATTCAGCCGCCCATACCGACGATGATGATGCACCAGCAGCAGCGGAACATCAACTCCAGTCGCGGCATTCACCCCGGCATCCACCGACCTCTCAAGGAGCGCATGGTCTCCAGTGTGGCCCTCCGTCGACAGGACCACGAATCAGCCAACACCATCACCATCGACACGGTCGCCTGGATGATCGTCCTCGGCGATGCGCTGCTCAACTTCATCGACGGCCTCAGCATTGGCGCCGCTTTCGACCGGAACATCCTCGCCGGCATGAGCATCAGCGTGGCGGTCATGCTCGAGGAGGTCTGCCACCGACTGGGCACCTTCGCAGTGCTGATCAGGGCGGGCATGAGCATGAAGCAGGCAGGTTTTTAGTGCTATGTACGACAATGCATTTTCTAAAAATTTCCCTTTTAGGCTTTTGTCTACATCTTCCTCTCCGCCTGCTGCTGCTACCCCGGTCTGGCGCTGGGCATCTTTCTGGGCGACGAGGCAGAGGACGCCAGTCCGTACATCTTTGCCCTAGCCGGCGGCTTCTTCCTCTACATGGCACTGGTGGACGTGATGAAGGCCATGCAGCGCACCATGGAGAACGCCTCCAGGAAGAACGTTCGCATGCTCATTCAGATCTGGGCGCTGCAGAACCTGGGCATCGTCCTGGCGGCCATCTCACTGGCGCTGCTCGCCTTCTACGAGAAGGACATGGACTTTGAGGAACGCGAGAAGGAGGAGCTCAAAAACTTCTCATTCAGTTAACTCGGTGGTCGATGTTGTGGTCGTTGTTGACTTTTTTATTATTTTATCATTCAGCGTATTTACAAGCAGCAGCAGCAGGTGTAGAGGAGTTGCGTGCGATCAGTTGTTCAAGTGTTGTTTGTATAGTGAAGATCTTGCTTTCTTCGTTGGATGGGTGGCATAAAAACTTCAGCGTAAATTGAAATTATGTTTTAATCAAATAGTAAAAAGCGGTGTTTCCGTCTGTTTGTGTGTGATGCAGGAACAGTTGCACATCTTATCTTAGTTACAAGTGCAATGAACTTGTTTGTACAGGAGAAGTTGAATCCGTCGTTGCACATTGTAAAAACACAGTGGGCCGAGTTTGCATTGAGAGGAAAAGATGACTATGAAACAAACAACACAACAGCAATTAAAAAGAGTGATCACTAGTTGACGGCGTATTTGTTAATGTATTCTTTGACTTGGCGGGCAAATCCCTTTGGATCACGCATGTAGTGTTCTGCGGCACTGCTGTTCAGTGGATCTTCAAAGTTCAGCAGATCCTGTCAGGTGAAGAGGAGAGTTAAGAAAAAATGGTTAGTCACAATTGCATCATCAAACTATTAAATAACAGTACAGTGAACAGAGAGTTAAGGCCACAGACGACGTCTTTGAGCGAGCGGGTGGGCAACCAGCCAGTTTCGTCAAAGTGGAGTCGGAGAATGCTTAGGCAGATATCGCCTGTTTCAGTGATGTTTGGGTGGTAGATGCGAGTCAAACAGCGAACTTTGGGCGGCTGAAAAAAAGTGTATTAGATAAGATTAGGCTCCAGTTCAGCAGTTTTTCTCACTAAATGATGCGTACCGAATACTTGTAGTCATTTGGAACGTCAATGATGAATTTGAATTTGCCACCGCACCACATTGAATCCTTTGCAGGACTAACTACGAGCTCTAGCTTGTGAAGTTCATTAGTGTTGGGGACCTTGAACTTGCAAGTGGGTGGGAGATCTTCTTGCACTTCTTGGATATCTGCAATGGAGGAAAAAGAGCAACATTTTAATCCAGTAAAAAGAATTGTTTATCTTACCTCTCGGAAGAAAAAGATCACGCTGAGAAAATGTCTTTTTGGAGGCTGTTTCACCTTCTGCTGTACTATTGCGCGGTACTTTTTTGGTACGCCATGATCCGATCATCGTGACCTTAATCCTGCGCAATGGAATTGTAATGAGATTAAAAATGTGAAACAGATTAAATATCAAAACAGCAAAAAGTAAAAAATAGAACTTTAAAATGTGAAACGTGGTGCTTCGAAAAAAAAATCTAAAGTGGGGTCAAGTAGAAAAGGGTGCTCTTTTGCCTAGTGCTAAAACTTCTGAAACGGCTAATCAGGCAATGAAGCTGCAGCAGCAGCAACCAGCAACATCGCCATTCTGATTACTCTCTTACCTTTACTAGTTGAAGATGGGGTGGGCAAAAGAAAGAGATGGTGTAGAACGCCAATCTGCACTCTTCTGAAGATGATGATCGCTACGAAGTTGGGTGAAATGAAAAATGAAATGAAACAACAAAACAGAGAGCAGAATCTTTGCGGGGTCGATCGTAGAAAACGTACAACAGCAGCTGCCTGCTTCAGATTTTGCCTGCAATCGAGGGGACTTGTGGTCACGTGACAACCTGAAGTGGGCACTGCTTGCACATAGGCACAGTGAGAGCTGGACAGACAACCTCAAAGGAGTGGGGCATCACGACCCCAAACGGCCCCTCGGCATTCTGGCAAAAAGTGACCAGTTCGAGTGGACCGCCGCTCCAGCCTTGTTGTTTGGTTGCCGCCGCCACCAGCCCTTACCAGCCAGCCAGACAGCACTGCGTTTTTCTTCCAGCCTTCTTGTTTGCTGATCATCACCACCACCGTCACCTTTTGTTTCCTTTATTTTGGATCACTTCTCGTGGTCGTCGTTGTGGATCACCCCTTTCAGTCACAGTCACGGCTACGACAGTGCGACAGGCACTACTGGTACCACCATCACCACCGCCATCACCAGCAATATCTCCAGCACCTGAGCTCACCACGCCGGTGCTTGATTCCTCCAATTAGCACCTCGCCATTGTTGTTATTGTCTCTCAGCACACTCGACAATGGGAGACACTTTGGAGACTGCAGTCGCTGCAGCTCCTGCTGCAGAAACCACCACCGACACCAATGCATCACTGCCTGAATCCGCCGTCGAGGGTAGCCAGGCAAAGACCACTTTCACAGTTATCCACTCACCAGCGCCCACCGAGGCCACCCCCGATTCTCAGTCTGATGTCATCAAAGTTGGCGACACTGCTCCGGGTGTCCCGGAGAAGGTGTCAGCGGTTGATCAGAGCATCACTTCACCCTCCCCAGCCACCACCGAGAAAGAGGTGGTGGATGTGGTGGAGGTGAAAGTGCCAACGATCGACGACGATCAAACTGCCAATGCTGCTCTGTCTGATCAAGTAAATATTGCGCATTATCTCTTTCTTCGCATGCCATACTCTCTTTTGCCTCCTCTTTTACCTGCAAACTTTTCCTTGCCTTGCTAGTTAATTGCTTATTTGAATCTTTTGTTTTTACTTTTATTTTACCATTTTCTTTTGTTTGCTCGTTAATACTTTAGGATCAAAAGTTTAAAGCTAAACTTTTGGTAAGAATTTTTAATTTTATTTCTAGTCTCCCTGTTTTGTATTGTATTGTTTTGTTTTTTGCCACCCTTTGAATCGATCTGATTGACTGAACAATGTAATTGTTTTTCTCCATGCGCGCCATAGGAAAGCGAAGCCGAGCAGCGAAACACTTCCACCTCAAATGCTGGCGAGTCGGAGTACGAGAGCGCCAACGAGGAGGACCTTGCCGAATTTGAAAATACTCCCGATGTTGACGTTCCTCCTGAGCCTATTGCAACAACAACTGTCGACACCACAAATAAAGAGGAAACTGTCTTCTGTTCCCCTTCTGCCGAGACAGTAGTTGACAGCTCCAAAGTGGAGGCCGACAAGGCTGACGTTGATAAATGTAAAATTGTCGGGGAAATCAGCAAGAAGCAAGACAGCTCTAGCGCCGAAGATGTCCTCACCACCTCTTCCTCGCTCTCTTATGATAACGTCGAAGCTCTGCCTGATGATGNGATTGCAACAACAACTGTCGACACTACAAATAAAGAGGAAACTGTCTTCTGTTCCCCTTCTGCCGAGACAGTAGTTGACAGCTCCAAAGTGGAGGCCGACAAGGCCGACGTTGATAAATGTAAAATTGTCGGGGAAATCAGCAAGAAGCAAGACAGCTCTAGCGCCGAAGATGTCCTCACCACCTCTTCCTCGCTCTCTTATGATAACGTCGAAGCTCTGCCTGATGATGCTCCTGAGGATCAGGTCCTGAGTCGCCTACGACGGCGAAAGAAGCGCAGTAAGCTGTCTGATGATGATGACCTGGAGGATGAGGACGCATCGGATGAGATGTCCCTCGAGGAGGCCACCGATGACGTTGAAGATGAAGAGGAGGACGAGGAGGAGGAGGAGGAGGATGACGAGGAGGAGTCCTTTGACGAAGCCGAAGAAGGACCTTTGCCGGAGGATGAAGCGGAAGAGGAGGGGGAAGAGGAAGAGGCCGAAGGTGGTGAAGCCGCCGGAGCAGTCGTTCTCGAAGATGAACGCGAGAATGGCGACGGCCAGGTATGCTTATATTGTTGTTTTCTATCTTGAGCACTACTTACTTTTCTCTCACTTTTTCCAGGAATCGGAAAGTCTTGAGAGCGGCAAAACCAAGGGCGGCAAGGTGGCAAAGGTGAAGGGAGAAATTGAAGACAAGCGCAATCCTCAGTATATTCCGCGCAAGGGTCCCTTCTACGAGCACGATGATCGAGGCGGAGAGACGGAGAAGAAGGCCACCAAGGAGACGGCTGACTCGGCGAAGGCTGCCGACGGCGAGGAACACAGCGCTGAAGGAGGCGGTGAGAAGGGCCTCAAGGCAAAGAAGCGGCAGATGGCGACGATGAAGTTGCGCTCGGATGAGATGGCCGACGATGAGGCGGAGGCTGCTGTGAGCGGTGGTGCCCCCAGTGCCGCTAGTGCAGCTGGAGAACAGACGCCCACTTCAAAGACGGCCTCGAAGGAGAAGGCACAGCTGCAGCAGCAGGCGGACGGCACCAGTTCGCCCAGTGCGGAGACGCCGGAGAAGAGTGGCGATGGTGCCAGTGGTGGTGGTAGCGGGGGCAGTGCCTCCTCCCCCTCTGCCGGCGGTGTCGCCAAGTCTGCTTCAATGGACGATTCAAAGACCTCGTCCTCCTCTCTGGAGACGTCTGCCACGCGTCGATCGAAGGCACTGTGGGACAGCAAGGGCCGCTGGAGCCACGACAAGTTCAACGTTGACGACCAGAAGCCAAAGTCGCGCGAGGAGCTGATCAACTCCTATGGCTATGACATTCGCGACGAGACGGAGGCGCCCAAGCTGCAGCGTCGCAGCAAGTACGGCAAGGGGCCTCAGAAGTACAGTGGCTCGGCGGGCGCCGGTGGTGCTGGTGGTGGCAGCTCACGACGTACCGATGATGACTCCAATGGATCCAGCTTTGCCAAGCGATCACTGCGCAAGGTCATTGTGAGAACGTCTCCGCGGGAGAGTAAGACATCGGAGAGCGAGCATCATCATCCCCACCACCCGCACCAGGAGCCGATGAGCCCTCGCGAGAAGGGGCTGCGAGAAGATGAGGAGAGAATGGCCAGCTCGGGAAAGAAGGACACGGTGTTCAGCAGAGACAGCAGAGACAACCACAGAGACAACAGAGACAGCACTCGGCACTCACCGAAAGACCGCAAAGTGATCTCAAAGGAGGCAAACTACGCTTCGAGCATCGGCTCGGGCGGCAGACAGGCCAACAACAACAACAACGAGCGAATCGGCAAGTCCTCTTATGCGGACAGCCCTGCCTCCAGTCGCCTTCACGAGAACCGAGTCTTTACCAACAAAACTGGTTCAGGCTCGGGTCCGGTGGCTGGTTCAGGTGGACGGTATGCTTCGACTAAGAACACTGAACGACCACCGGCGCGTGAATCGAGAGGTCACTCTGACAATGGCTATGGTTATGATCGCCAGCGTGAAGATCGCATGTCCAGGTCTGGCGGTGGCGGCGGTGACTATCACCATCACCAGCAGCAAAACAGTGCATACGAACACCGAAACAGCCGTGACACTGAGCCGTCATCGTCCTACAGCTCTGAGCAGCCGCATCATTACTCTGCCGAAAAGTCGTCCAAAGAGCTTTTCACCAATGAGGACTTTCCTGAGCTGGTTTCGGCTCCGACAAAGGGCGTCACAACGGCGAACCTGACTGTGGCGACTTCAGTGAACGCTGCCAGTGCTTCGGCTTCGGCTGCTGACCAGCCAAACCCACAGCAGCACCATTCGTCGGCCAACAGTAATCACCACCAGCAACAGCAGCAGCAGCCCCACCACCATCACCAGCAGCAGCAGCAGTCGCAGTCACAGGTAAAGAACAACAAGATTATCTACTATCAGCACCCTCCGCCGTCTGCCGCCAGCAGCGGCGGAGGCAAGGGCGGCCATTACAAAGATACTCATCACCACCACCATTCACAACAACAGCAGCAGCAGCACCATCATCGCGACTCGTCAGACTATTCAAAAGAGCCGAACTATGATGTGGACAATGCTCATTTGGCTGGCAAGCAGACCGGCGCCACCGCTGCAGCAGGAGGCAGCCACCACCGAGAGGCTGTGCCCGTGCTGAAGAGTCAGATGTTTGAAAACTCACGATACTCTCGCTCGCGTAACCAGTACGGCACCAGTCAGGAGTACAATTCCAGCTGGAACAACGGCGGTAGTAGTAGTGGTGGCGGCAGCAATAACAACATGAGCAGCAGTGGTCAGCGCTCGCTAGGCCCGAAGCAGCCGTACGGCGCCTCAAATCAGCAGATGCCACCGAAGAAGCAGCAACAGCCCCTGCTCAGTGGACAACCGGTGAACAGCCGGGACAATCGTGACAGCCGAGACAACCGTGACAGTCGCGAGAAGGAGGATTCAGCCCTAGGAAACAGTGACCTTTACGGTGATGCCGGTGGAGAGGTTCGACCGAAGCGATACTCCTCCATTCGACAGCAGCAGACGCAGCAGCGCAATGTGCCGGCTAATCAACAGCAGATGAACAACAGCCACCAC